CCCCCCCCTACACCCCCCTAAAACTTCTCAAAATGCAGCCATGACTGCTGGTGCTGTTTTGGTTTTGAGACCACTCATTCAGCGAAATCATGGCTTAACCAATTGGATCACATGCTTCTTTTATTATTTAAGTGTACGGAAATTTTATAAATATTTTTATTAATTATTTAAATCTCAATAAATTACATTAAATCCTTTGAAAGTTCTCGAAATTTAATTTCTCACAATATTTTTTGAATATTTTATAAATATCTTTGGACTTATAAAATGCATATTTTATCTGGTTTCAATTATTTATCTTCACGAAATTAACAATAAGACTCTACGATTAAGTAACCGACATTTCAAACAGCTTTAAGATATTATACACTTGGGAGTTCGGTATTTCAATTATCTATTTTAAAAGGAGTTATTACAATAAATCATTTATTTAGGGGTGTTTGTGATTGCTTATAAAAACAATTTATTGACTTATTCCGGTGTGACACCGGTAATAAACATTTTTTGGTGTTTGGATAAACAACTTATACTGATGTCAAACCGATTGTAAGAAGTTTTTACATAAGTTAAACCCTTCTGACTTGTAATAAGTTGATAAGTGATTTTGTAAAAAAAAATTAGTTGTTTTAAATAAACAATCCCAAACACCCCCCTTAGGTTATTTAAAATTAAGATCTAAAGTGTCATAATAATGTGAGTTATTATGGAGCACTTTGGTTTTAGAGGATTTATATAAATTATATATTTCCTAAGTAGAGGTGTTCTATAATAAATCATTTAATTATTTAGATGGTTTTTATTATTAGATTAAGTGTCGTATTTGAGTTAAATAACTATTTGGATGTTTTAATTTAGAGAGATGAACTTATGAGATCGTGAAATGTTTATTTTGATTTTTTAGTAGGCCATCGAGTTTTAGACTTTGGGATTGACTAAAGTTAGCCGGGGTTGACCGATTGACCAAAGTTAGTCGAGGTTGGCCGATTGACCAAGGGTTGACTTTTGATACATTTGTCCCATGTGGATTTTGATGATGGAGTCAAATGGAGTTACTTGAGGCATATTGGGATGCTCATATATGGAGTTTGACTTTAGGTCGGGTCGGATTGATCATAATTGACTTTTGCAGAAACTAAGTCATTGATTAGATATTGTGGTATGAAATGTGTAGGTCTTCCATCAGAAGTTATCAGTAAATCGATCTCCGCAGTTAGGTGTTACGATGGGATGCATACATATGTACAAAATTATTTTATCATGCTATTATTTTGTGAGGGAGAATGTTATGCTTGATATTGGTTTTAATACATGACATCGGTTATATGTTTACATGTATATGGTGCTTTGTGGAGCATAAATGCTAATTGTTTTTCGTTTTTTAAACATATTTTAGCATGCTTATGTTTTTAGTTGGTTTTAATTGTATAACCGATACACGGTTTTGGAGTATGGGATGTCAGTTTGGTTTGTCATACTTTAGGGGAGGCACGACCCCAGAATGGGTGACTAGCTTTGTGTGAGCCTTACATATTAGGGAATGCCTGTGACATGAGATCATGACCCCGTAATGGGTTACTAGCTACAGATAAGCCGTACACAACCAAGGGATGCTTTCAACTTATTAGTCCTTAATCGATAAGACAGTTATGAGGTCTCGTTTATTTTAGTGTGGGATGTTTTCAGAAAAAATGCATGTTATTCTATACAAAGTATGCATGTTTGATATGAGTGACAAAATATGATTTCACTCATGCAAACCATGAAGTCGCTGAGCTTTATAAGCTGATCATAGTTTGCATCTCAGGTCCATGTAGTTCGAGGTTGGATAAGAACAAAGAACACACTTAGAGACTTGTATGTTCTCATCTTAATTTTTATCTTTTGCTTAGATGTTTATACATGGATCAGTTGTAACTTGACCGGGTATGGGACGGGTTAGCTTTTAAGTTACATGTTTATGTATTTCAAGACTTTTCAAGATGACATATGATTACACCTGTTGCCTTTACATTATGTATTTGGCAGCTACTATCATGTCTTTATGTGAATTCCGTATAATGTATTTAAGTGTTTAGAAGGAAGTGGGTGTAGGAAGAAGATGAACAAAAAAAGAGAGGAACAAAAAGACTAAAATGCCCTCATGTGAGGGGTACATGACGACATTTAACGACCGAAACACAATGGTTGTCAGTGGGATGTACGAATACCAAAAAAATGCAAAGAATAAAGAAAGATGCACATGCGTGCATTTAATGGCTGTAACGTAAATTATCGTATTCCAAAAGCTCATAACATTAGTCCCAACAACCTTCAATTTATTGCTTCATCTCCATCAATAATGCCTACTCCAACTCATTATAAAAAACGGGATTCTGTACTTTTGGTATTTAGCAATTCCTGTTAAAAAACAATAAAAAAATCCAACTTTTACCTGTCCAAGAATGAGATAAATCAACAGTGATAAGATACACGAGTAACAAAATACAAGCAATTGAAAAAGATTTATGGTAAATAAAATCGAGAGACAAAAACCACAATATCAAATGTCTTGGGCTTTAGGATTCTCCTCAGAGGTCATCAGTTTAAGCATTGTAAGACCACTGAGAATTTTTCTGACTGTTCTCCAGGGCCCCCAGAATTAGGGGGTGTTTATGATTGTTTATTTGAAACAACTTATGCTTTTCTATAAAAGCACTCATCAACTTATTATAAGTCAGAAGGGTTTAACTTCTTCAAAAACTCCTTATTACCGGTTTGACACCGGTATAAGTTGTTTATTCAAATACTCAAAAGTGCTTGTTACCGGTGCCATACCGTAATAAGTCAATACATTGTTTTTATAAGCAATCCCAAACACCCCCTTAGTCGAGATACGCGTAAGTTGGCCCGGACACCTAAAAAAAATGGACGGAAAATGTAATTAAATCTAGATTAAAATTTTAAACAAACAAATCAATTTTGTAACCATTTGAGAGATATATGGGCCTTAAGTAGTACATTGGGCCTATTAAATATGGGCCTTATAAACCCGGCCCATATTTGTCGGACTTATCGACCTGTTGTTCATAACCGAGGTTTCTGCAGAGGGAAGAACAACACGACTAGGAGACCGACCATACACTCACAGATATCTTTCCCCATCTCTGAACTCAAAACCCTAATCATCGATTTCTAACCATAAATTTCACACCTTAATTCTCCATTTGTGAAGCAGCATCGACAATGACGTCCGATTCAAGTTCCTCATCACCATCCTCCGACGAAGAAGAGGAATCAGCCGGCCAAAAACCTAATGTTGACGTCAACATCAATTCGATAGATAATTCTCTAGACGCCATAGAGAATCAATTGTCTTCGATTGCATTGAAGACTTCAATTGACGAAAGAACAGCACCGTCTACTGATTATGATCACGAACCCGTCGTCTCGGAGGTCGATGATGGATCGTTGAGGGAAAGTGCAAGCGGGATGCAGAGGAGTTCGATTGGTGAAAGTAGTTCGTCAAGGGCGTTGGGGTTGTGGAGGAACAATTTGGAGGTGGAATTGGAAGCGGAAGTGGATGGGGCACCGTCAAGCCCTAGTAGCAGTGGCTATGCCGGTGAGAGAGGTAGTAGCGGCAGTGTTACTAGTGCTTCTGGAACTGATGCTATACGGGAACTTAGGGACAACGGTTCTTCTATGGGTGACGATGGCATGGTTTCGTTGGATTCTTCTCAAACACAATGGATTCGTGGTAAACGTCATGCTGATGAGGTGATTATTCTAGGCATGCAGAATTTTCCTCGATTTTAGAATTTGATTACTTGTCATCGAAAATCTAATGAAAGAGGAGCTACGTGGCTTTAAATTGGATTGTTATTCGAATTTACAGTTGCTGTTTCTATCATTTTCTGTACCATCGTCCTTTCACCTTCAAAAGTTGAACTTTTTTACTTCAGATTGGCATATAGCAATCATCGAATTGTTAGATTGTCAGTAAAAACGTCGCTTGTTGGACAATGCTTGTTTTGGATGAACAGAGAACTCAATAACAGAAGACGCATCGCATGTTTTTGGCGTGGTTTATCAAGGGTTTTATTTTAGGTTATTGCAAAGTTGATTTTGATTGTAAGCAGGTGTACGAAGCAAGGTCACAGTTGGAAATTCTATGTGACTTAATACGGTCGAGGATCAAACCCCTGTAAATACAAGTTATGTTTTTTGAAGTTTTATCTTATTTCCTGAAAAAGAGAGTCTTGCTATTTGCCTAGCATCATTCTTTACATTACCAAAATTTGTAATAAAAAAACAAAACATAATTATTACCAAACGAGACCTTTGTTTTGATCTTGACGGATGTGTACATTTCATACCAATATAGTGTTGTATGTGATTTTCTCATTAATTGCGTGGGAAATTCTATGATGCAAGATGTTTAGTGGTTGCTATAAAGAGGGGTAACCTGGAGCATGAAGTTTAGGTTACCATGGGCTTTAGTTAGGGGACACATGATCTTTTTGTGAAGTTGCTGCAGCATCATTCTTATATGTGGAAGTCGGATCAAGTACGGACTGATAGTATGGTGGAGTTCACATTTATGCATTATTGGGTGGAAAAAATGACACAAAGTTTACCTTTTAACTTATGAAAAATAAGTCTTTAGGTCAAGATGCTCCTGAAAAATTTCAACACTGTATGCTGGTGCAACTGGTTGTCAGACAAATGACTTGTAGGGTTGCGTATAGTGTGTGTGCTTTAACTAGGGTATGGATGGTAGAGCATCATTAATGTGACTCCTCCCTGGGTAACCAAATTATGGGCATATAAACACTGAACTTCCATATGGGTTTGCCTCCATTATGCAATTGATTCCCATAATCCTAAACATGCTCTTGAGGTGCTCATAGTTTTATTGCGCAGTTTCGTAGTTGTAACTAGCATCTCAGTGCCTGTTTTTTGGTAACTATTGTAGATAAACCTTTGAATTATTAGTGAGGACTTTCAGAGCCAAGTAATAGCTCTAATAGTTCCACGGAATAGAAAAGCTCAGGGGAGTTTTAAACGGGCATATGTAAAGCTTCAGGGTTGTTTAAGGACTTGGAACAATTTGTTAGGGTTCTACCCTTAGTGTGGTTTGTAAGTTGCAAGTAATAGTTTTACAGTACTGTAGTTCTGGTATAAGCGTTATAATGAAGTGCAGATAATTAGGGTAATACGGGGTGGATGGGAGGTTCATTAATGTACACACTCTCTGTCTCTTATATGTCTGCTTTATTTCCTTTTTTTAACAAAGGATAAGATATGTTTTCGCTGTTCTTTGAATGGTTTCCTCTCATTATACATACATTGAAGTTCTTGAAGGGTCTACATTTATAGATGTTTAACGATGATGTAACGATGAATGCTGCCCTTCTTCTTTTCTATTTCCTTTGAGCTTCTTGGTTGGATAATGACATTATGGAATCCTTACAACATATTCATTTTTTCTAACAGTCACTTTCTTTGTGTGAGCCAGCCATGAACTTCTTGCCTGAGAATTTGATTCTAAGAATTTTCCTTTTAGGGCTTTACAAACCTTTTCCGTTGATCACTTGGGGAAGGCATTGAGATGGTTTTGCTTATTTCCATGACTTTCTGGCATGTTGCAGTCATCTGCGGAACTTACATTTTTCTTGATTTTTAAATTGCATGTGTTCATCTCTTTTAACAAGAAATATTGATGACTGCCTGTAAGAAATTGCTGTTTGTAAATTTCAACTGATGATGGATAAGTGCAGGATGATGCTTCTATCTCTTGGAGGAGAAGGAAGAAACATTTCTTTATTTTGAGTCACTCTGGAAAACCAATATATTCAAGGTATGCAGCTGTTAATACCTATGATATGTATTTTCACCTTGGGACATATAACTTTCTGTAAAGAACATATCTAATGTCTATGATGCATCATTTCATCATGTTTTTGGGTTATATGATTATTCTATAAAAGATACATAAATAGTGGTCAGACCATGATCCATGGCATGCATCAGATTCCCATTTTAGTGAATTGTGAATCATGGATTCACTTCAGTAATTTTTCAGACTATTGTAGAGGGAATTGTATATTTGTATATACACATAATAAATGTTTATTTTTATGTGAGACTGATAGTTTCTTAAAATAACTAGATTCTGTGGCTCAAACGCATGGGCGCTTCCCCCGAGTTACTCTTGAAGTCGCACCTTGTTCATTTTGAAGTCTTTGCTTGTTAACTATTTCTATCTGACAAGTGTTCATAATATTCTTATAATGATAACATAAACTTATACTTGATCTTGTTTAAATAACCAATATTGTCTTAAATTATTAAAACAGCCAATGAAAATTTGCTTGTTTGAGAAAAAAATAATACATTTAAATCTGAAGAGGAAAGAGAGTACCCAGAGGTGAGCCAGAAATAGAGTATACAGAAAAATGAAAAGACCCTTCCAGAGTTGCAATTGTAAATGACTGGAAGAGGTCTCATCAAGAGTATGAAGAGAATAAAAGAAGCGCGAAGTGGTGAATAGAATAATGGAATGGAATCTGTTGACTTTATCAACTGCTAGGATGAGAAGAGCCGATGGGAACCCTTGCCAGAGATGCAGCTATTATACACATGACAAAAACCATTGATGAACACAAATTGGGTTAAAATCTTGGGTAAAGTACTTATTTATGACAGTTTTAAAGAAACAAAATCACTGATAGGAAAGCAATTTCAACAAGATTTCTAATTCGTTTATGAGTTGGTATTGTTTGCTTTAATGATTCGAATTATATGGATTATAGAGTGAATTGTACAATTTTTACAACACTTTATTTGTTACGTTGGAATGGATTTCATTTTATCTCTATCTATCCTACAAACATATCAATGAAGATTTATTTGTGACCTTTGAGGACTTCTGAATTGACTTTCAGATACGGAGATGAACACAAACTAGCAGGATTTTCAGCAACTCTGCAAGCCATCATTTCCTTTGTGGAAAATGGGTAAATATATTACCTTTCTATTAGCTATGCAACTACATGTACTCCTCCTTGTTACACGCTTATTCTTTTACTATTTTTTCTTTTGAAGATGAAGGAGTTATCAATAATTTGCTTTATTGATATCTTTCAGGGGAGATCGTGTAAAATTGGTTAGGGCAGGAAAACACCAGGTCAGTAGTGGTTTCAAGTCGCCTTTTCTTTCCTTGCAGCTTTGGGAACAATATTTCAACATGGAAGTTGCCCGATACTCTAGTTGGCAGTTTGCACTTTGTGTGCCTGTTTTCTGTGATAACTAGATGTCGAATTGACTTACTTTGATGTCAATGGGATCCTGTCGCTTAATACGATAGTGTTCAGTTAATTAGATTCTGATAATCATGCATAAATATCATAATTATTTATCGACTGTCTTGGCCAGTGGATCATTCTGTCCTAAATGACCTGGTCATCTGACGATTCTTTTAGAAAACTTGATATGTAGCTGTACAGGAGATATGGTATGTTCCCCTTGCAACGTTTGGTAATGTGTACGTAGTCGTGGCTTCATGTGAACCATGAGGAATAAAAAAGGACCCTTCTATTTAATCTACTAGCTTATGCCAGCATTTTTTTACAAAAAGACATTGGCATAAGCTTGCTGATGGCTATGCTTTACAGGTGGTTTTTCTTGTTAAAGGACCGATTTATTTAGTTTGCATAAGCTGTACAGAAGAGCCTTATGAGTCCCTACGTGGGCAACTGGAACTACTTTATGGTCAGGTAATGGTTTATTTTACCACCCATTGGTGTCTGAAATGTTTGTATATACTTGGTCTTACTTATGTTTTTAGTGTAATCGAATATGTCAATATTGGATTATGTGGGTTAATTATTATACCATTGATATGACTGCAGATGATACTTATTCTTACGAGGTCCCTAGATAGATGTTTTGAGAAGAATCCAAAATTTGACATGACACCTTTGCTTGGAGGAACAGAAGCTGTCTTTTCTTCTATCATTCGCGCTTTCAGCTGGTTTGTTTTCTCTTTTGAGCTGGTTTTTTTTTTATCAATTTAAGGGCATCAACGGCTCTTGTCAATATAGAGTTTGTATGACACTCAAAGTGGACAATTGTGTTGGAGACTAATTTGAGCGAAGCATATATGTTTGCTTATATGCATGACATACATATACTCGAATATCTTCCCTGCTCTCTTCTTTTTGCAGGATATTTCATCATTGTGTTGGTCCCATACTGCAATGTATTATTTCGTTTTTAATTTGAGATTACTTTGTGCAGCCTCTTAACAAGTTACCATGCAGAGCATGGTCACCCTAGCATAATATGAATGGTTCTAATGTTTCAAATGATTGGGCCTTTTAGACAATTTTTGAAGGTTACCAATTTGTTTCTGAAATGGGCTTCTCATCTTCTTAGACACTAGACAATCTACAAGCAATTTTATCTAGCCTGCCTTAATGCTTATCTCAGTATTATTTCTCCATTGAATCCTATTAGCATCACTGTAGTATCATTTTTAGTGCAATAATTTGATTTTAACCACATTTATTTAGACATTCGAGTTGTAGATCTTCTAACTTCTTTCATCATTTCTCCTGCTTTTGTTTACCAAGTAGGTTTCATTACAGATGATAATCTTAATAGAATATTTGACAAACATTTGGTAAAAACATAAAGAATTTGGTGCTGAAGTTCAAGTCTGTTGGTCTTTGAGTTGCTTCTGTTCTCTACCTCCCAGGGTCATAGGTGATCTATTTTTGCTTTGTTTGAGGTTTTTAAATTTCCCACCTGGTTTGGATTGTATGCCTAGTTCTTTGGTAGGCCTGAATAGTGTTGAAGAGTGCTAAACTAAACGTAGTTTAGTTTGATAAAGCTGCAAATCATGCTAAATGTTTGTGATCTCCAATTTGTATTAAACGAAGTCTTATATATTTACTCAAAAAGATTTAACCAAAATCTGTTTTCTTTTTGTTCGGTTTACTCACAACTCATAAGCAATGCTGCCTACAGATGACCTTGACTGTTTAAGGCCTTTGTCACCCTTAGGCTTGTCCAGCAGTTGTTACCATGTTACAATCGTCTACGGTCTCTCTAGATGTGATTTATGAGACTTTTATAATACAAATGTTTCCTCTGAAACTTGCTTTTGGCTCACTGGCACACGGTATGCCTTTCCATGAATACTTGCCTCCTTGGGCCAGGGTTAAACTTAATGGTTATGGAATCAAAAAAACTTATATTATTTTGAGTAATTTTGTATCTGAAAACAAGATTCTTATTTCTTAGTTTATTTGGTCAAATGGAAAAGCAAGTCCGGGAAGTTGGTTCATGCTAAATGTTTAATCTAGTTTAGACACGATTAGATCTCATCGACTATCGTTTGTTGCATGTGAGTAGTTATTGCTTAAAATAGAACATGTAATCATTTCATGAACGTACTTGTGTCCAATCCCCACAACCAGGATTTTAATTGATCTTGTGCCGACTTTTGAAACAGGAACCCCGCTACTTTTCTTCATGCATATACTTGTCTTCCTCTTGCTTATGCTACAAGGCAAGCTGCTGGTGCAATTTTGCAAGATGTTGCTGATTCAGGTGTCCTTTTTGCAATATTGATGTGCAAAGATAAGGTCTTTACAACGGCTAGCTTTTACATCGACTCCTTTACCTCCCAACCCCCTTCCTGCCTTGGCAGTCTTTTTTAGAAAATATGTATCTTTCTTTGTTCTGTTTGTGATATATCATTCTTAGAGCTAAATGCAGGTTGTCAGTCTGGTAGGCTTGCAGAAAGCATCACTTCATCCCGATGATATGCTGCTGCTTGCTAACTTTGTCATGTCATCTGAATCTTTTAGGCAAGTGTTGTATTTCATTATATAGCTTTGTAGTGATAATTTTTATGGAAAAGGTCTATGTTACAAGCAATAATTTTTTGGTGTTTCTTTTTTACATATTTGTTATAATTGAACAACAATAATCCCTAGATTATGTTTCTTTCTATCTAGTTTATGTCATAGAATGAACAATGGAATTTAGTTATCCGAGATTGACATGGCACTAACATAGATCTATACGTTTTGGTGCAGGACGTCTGAATCTTTCTCGCCAATATGTTTGCCGAGATACAACCCCATGGCATTTCTATATGCTTATGTTCAATATCTTGACGTGAGTGAATTATAGCTCTATGACACTCGTTAAAAGCTTAGAAAACTGGATGTTGTTACTGTTTGTACCCCATCATAAGCTGAAAATATTGTTCCTTTTTAGAATGCTTTGCGTTATTAAATTGTCAGTTGTGTTATATGGGAGATGAAGTGCATTAGTATGTATCTTGCAGGTTGAAACATACTTGATATTGCTCACTACAAGTTCACAAGCCTTTTTCCATCTTAAAGAATGCCGGTACTTTTTCGTTTGTTCTTTTAATGTCAAAATTGTGGTTTCCATGTTATTTTTGAAATGTATATTTCCGTTCTCCATGAAAGAAGTCAAGTGACTGGAATCACGTGGGACTCTGGTTTTATGTTGGGATTTTCGTTTATATTTTTACATTTCTGCATGCACTGTTTTCTTCAAGACACTTGAACTATTTTTCACAGGATACGTATTGAAACTGTCCTTTCAAAGTCAAATGTTCTTAGTGAAGTTCAAAGATCATTGTTGGAAGGCAGCATGCGTATTGAGGATGTGCCTGTTGACCCAACTGCTCGTTCCGGGTCTTTATTCCATTTAAATCAGCGAAGACTAGCAACCGATTCTCAGGAGAGACTACACGAAACGTTTGTAGGTATAGGTGGTCCTGCTGGACTTTGGCACTTTATTTATCGCAGCATTTATCTGGATCAGTATGTATCTTCTGAGTTTGCATCTCCAGTCAGCAGTCCACCTCAGCAGAAAAGGTTTATGTGCTAAATCCGGCATTACTTTGATGATGTCTTTCAGTTTGAGTGCAATGTTGCTTATTGCTGCATATGTTAAGAGTAACAATCGGGTTTTTTTGCAGATTGTATAGGGCATACCAGAAACTTTATGCTTCCATGCATGATAAAGAGGTCGGGCCCCATAAAACTCAGTTCAGAAGGGATGAAAACTATGGTAAAATATTCTAATCTTCAGCTGCTAGGATTTTTTATACCGGCTTTAATATTTTTCTAACTTCAATGGAAGGTATAATTTCTTGATGAATATTGGATAAAGCACGACGCAACTAAATAAGAAAACATCCTTTACGATCAAATTTTGTAACAACCCGTCCCACATGGATAAGAAATTAGATTTCTGAGCTTTTTATAATAGCTCAAAGGTTCAAAAAGGAGTAAGGCAAGGCATGGCGTGCCGGCGAGGTCAAGCCTCAAGCCTTACACGCCATGGCTAGGCTGCGGCCTTTTTCAAGGTGTGACATAAGGCGGCAAATTTGTATGTCATACATATAGATATATGTTTTCTATATATTATCTAATCAGATAATAATATTAAAAAAATGTATATTCATATTAGAAGTAGAAAAATCATATAGATTATTATTATAAAAATAGGTTTTTGATTAAATATTTAAAATAGAACTTAGAAAGGTAATTTTACAACTTCATTTTAACCGTGAGTCTGTAACATTTATGAATTTGTGAAACCGTGAGTAATGTGATTAGTTAAATCTATAAAAGTGTATCTAAAGTAAAAAGTGTAAAAACAGAAGATAAAAAAATAAAAAATAAGAAAAATTTGAAAAAAAGATCACGTCTTACGGCGTGCCTCAAGGCGCCATGGCGTGAGCCACGCCTTATAGAAACGCTATGGGTTATTTCGTAACTGCGGAGACGCGTCTTGCGCGCCTTTTTGTAAAGTTGTTGGGTTAGTCTGTTGCTTTGGGCTATGGGGTGTTACGGAAGTAGTTTCCGAGCATCCTACTACAGATGCACGAAATGATGATTTATCCCAACTTTGAATCTTCATTGTCGTGCTCACACACTTGTCTCTAATTCATGGTAATGGGTTTAAATTACAGTGATTCTATTTCTCTTGCAGTTTTACTGTGCTGGGTTACTCAGGATTTTGAGCTTTATGCAGCTTTTGATCCACTTGCAGACAAGGTTAGATTAACTGTTAAGTTCTGTTACACCCACACCCACACCCACACCCTTAAAACAATGTGGATCTCCTAAGCCACTAATCCCTACGCATTGTTTATATATGTATATATGTCTAATCAAATGAGAACTGTTTTGTTTGTGGTAACCGTGAGATACAATCTCAACCACAAATAAAAGGTTAAATTAGGAAATTAATAATTTTGGTAACTTTAACTTAAAATATTAATTTAGGGAATTTTAGGGATTTTATAAATATCATCTCTCATATTTCCTCTTTCCTCCCTTGGGCGAATCTTATTCGGCGAAGCTTATTCCGATGAACCTTATGTGAGCACAAGATACACAATGTGATACCTAGAAACGATATTCACTGTTGATACCCATATATACATACAACATGGACAATGTGATATTCTTTGTAAAACAATGAAAATAACGAAAATGCACACTATGATATTTTTCATAAAACAAAGAAAATACATTGTGATACACGTGCCACATTGTGAATGTTATCACTATGATACACTTTGATTCACAAACATCATTAAAATACGATGTATATTAGGTAATTGATCTACTAGGTAACTGATTTTAATTAAATTTTTCCTTCTAAAAAATTTAATTAAATATTTTGATTAATTGTCAAAAATAGAATTACTATATTACCTTTTTAGCTTATTTAAGAAATATATTTAAATATCTCAAATGAGTGGTTCACATTGTATCTCACGGTTACCATAAACTAATCAGTTCTCCCTTAAATGGGCCCTCTTTTTTTCTCTCTCTCTCTCTCTCTATATATATATATATATATGAAAATTTAGTTGTAGGTTTTTAGCTATTGGATTTCCTGAATTTTCTTTTGCTTGGGTAACATGACATCGTTAGAATAGAGCGCCATAGAGAAAAATATGTTGTCTTTACACGGATGTCTGATGGTATTCAACGGGGAAGGACCTTTTTGCAGATGCAAAATCTCTTTTGATTGCATTTGAGAACACAACTAAACCACAGAGAACAGCTCTGATGTGCTTCACATTCATATTAAAAACCCCTTACATCAATGAAGACATGGCCTTATATCTAACCCACCTAAGAAGTTTCTAGATTACCCTAACAGCTTACTAATGGAACCAATACCAGCCCTACAGGTGGCAGATGGTGCCCACAGTTATAAAAAAAAATTAAAAGATTGCTGTAAATAACTAAAATGGTAAAATGGTGTTGTATCATCCATCTATGGGCCGGTTTCGTGTTTTCATATTGGAATAAGTTTCAGTCGTTAATTCTGTGTTGGAGTCCCACATCGACTAGATTTGAAACTTATCTCCTCATTATGTATTGGGATTCCACATAAGATTCAAGATCTATCACTTTAGGGATTCAACACTTTGGGACTATCTCTAGGCCTTGTCTTGCCTCCTCTGACACGGTTTGTGCCCATCTTGCCTCCGTTGGAGGGGGCCATGTTGGAGTCTCACATTGGTTAGACTTGGACCATCTATTCATCCTTAATATATGTTGGAACCTCCCATGTCTTCTCATCGTTGAGCCAAGAATTTTGTCAAGGGTGTTCCTCTTTGATAAAACAATATATATATATATATATATATATATATATATATATATAGAGAGAGAGAGAGAGAGAGAGAGGGGGTTTATTTTACAAACCATGTAATGCGTAAAAACCATAATCAATGTTTATATTATAAAACATTTGAGATATTTATAGAAAATGATTTTGATTCATTAATTATGATTGAGATATATATGGAAGATGATGAGTTTAATCATTATTGATCATGGTTTTGAATTAGGAAACAAATAAAATCAGATATTGATTAGACTAGATAGACGGCTAAGATTGGTTTATGTGGTTTGTTAGAATTACATGGTTTGTAAAATAAACCTCATATGTGTATATATATATATATATATATATATGTGTGTGTGTATATATATATATATATATATATGATCTTATATTCATTGCAAAATTCATGGAAGGAAAAGCTCAGTCTTTGGTTGGGTCTTGGATAACTTCCAAGGACGGGTCATGAAAAAAATTAAAAAATCCAAACAAAAATTGGGTCTTACCTTAAAAAACAAAATTTTGCAAGCGAGGGTGGGCCGTTGGCTAGTGAGGACGGACTCTAGGCCAAAGCGGGCTCTGCCTCTGCTTCTAAAATGGCTCTTTTGGAAAATAATATACATTGTTTATTTTAATCGTATAAAAATGTGACTGAAGAAGATTTTTGGTTGGTAGGGTGTGGCAATACGGATATGCAATCGAGTGTGCCAGTGGGTGAAAGATGTCGAAAACGAAATATTCTTGTTGGGAGCAAGCCCTTTTTCATGGTGATGTGTTTTTCCATTTCCTTTTTGTTTTTCCAGAAATAATATTCACTCAAAAGTTTTCGTCATAGAAAAAAAGAGAAAAATAACAGATGCTGCATCTCCTACTTGTACCTGGTAGCCTCGACATTTATATATGTAAACTTGTTTGTTTTTTCGGTTTCAAATTCTCTCTTCATTTGACGTGTGTAATTGTTGGTCAATAGTTGTTCATTAGATTTTTGGTTGTAACTTCGAGTCGTTGAATTCGATACTAATAAAAGATGTTCAGTTTAGTGTGATATGTTTAAATATGATTACAACTTTGAACAATTGTAATTTCTATATGTTTTTGGTGAAGTATTACTTATGGGTGGATTTGTTTTTGATATAAAATGCAAGTTTAAGGGACTTGTTTACTAATTGAATAAGTTGTATAAGTGTATAACCAGTAAGCTTTTACCACTTCAATAAGTTGTACAACCGGGTCATTTTATCTTATTTGATGTACACGACAAGGATCAAAAATCTTATCCGGTAAGTGAGAGTAATTGCTTTTACACAGTAAGCTTTTATCAGATAAATTGTTATATACGGTACTTTTTAATGAACTAAAATCTTATCGGGTAAGTTGTGAATGACCAATAAGTTTTGGATGAAGGAACCCTAGTATATTGTGTAGTTATAGTAATCGTTTTAGAACAAGTTTGGCATGTGTTATGAGAGTGATATCTATTATTTTTTTTAGTGGAATACAAATCTATTTTAATAAATAAATTTTGCATATTTTTATAGATATATATATATAGAGAGAGAGAGAGAAAGATGAGCGATCAAATGAAAAGTGAAAACCGCCTCCATTTGTGTAAACCGTGTAAACATATCTCATCCATCCATTTTCTTGATCGATGGTCAAGATTAGTTTAGTTTATTTTAGGAAATTAAAAAATATATATATTAAAATTTTATTTTTATATCAGCAATAAGGGCAAAATTGTAAACAAAATACATATTCTCTAATATCCCATGAACCAGTTTCACCTTCATGAAACTTGTTTCATGTAAATTAATTTTCTTATTTCACTCTTGATTTGATGAATTCATTCATTTAAGCCTTACAATCATCAATATTCTTGAGCAGATTACAATCTTCAAGATTCTGGAGCAGATTCATCATGTACCCGTCTCATCATGCAATTATTTCATGACGAACCAAATACATTTTGCACCCGTTTCACTACTAATTGTTCAATTACGTCATGAACCAGTTTCACCTTCATGAAACCTGTTTCATGTAAATTAATTTTCTTATTTCACTCATGATTTGATGAATTCATTCATTTAAGCCTTACAATCTTCAAGATTCTGGAGCGGATTACAATCTTCAAGATTCTGGAGCAGATTCATCATGTACCCGTTTCATCATGCAATTATTTCATGACGAACCAAATACATTATGCACCCGTTTCATTTTCCATTTCACCTACTAAATGGATCAACTACACCATCAATGAAACGGGGTTCACCATGAAACCAGTTCACTACTCATTGTTCAATTACAACATGAACCAGTTTCACCTTCATGAAACTTGTTTCATGTACATTAATTTTTTTATTTCAATCATGATTTGATGAATTCATTCCATTATGCCTTACAATCTTCAAGATTCACCAGTATATTCAATCACAACACAATATATTAAGTTCAAATTTTTAATATTATAATATAATTAAATATTTAAATGTTACAATTTATAAAAAATTTCTTTATTACGTTTCCTTAATTAAGATTTATTAATAATTTTCATATTTAATAGAAAATATTGTAAATGATCGAAATACCCTTATTGATTAAATTTAATTAGAAAAAAAAATAGAATTTTCCTATTTGTCGAAATTAGTTTACACGGTTTCTTAAATATATATATATATATATATATATATATATATCTATGTCATGTCGAGATTTTATGACAATTTACTACCAAACTTAATTACTTATTAAAAAGTTATTATCATCATTTTTAATACAAATTTATGTCAAATCAATAAAACATATTGATTGAATTACCTCTTAGGGCTTAAGTATGGGTTGCCTTAAATTCACTCTTATATATTGTTAAATGCATCTCTATCTATTACTTTTTTTTCTCACACATACCAATATCATGAATTACTTTTTACATTTTTTATACATAATTTGACCTGATTTTGCTATAAAAAAAATGTGTATATAGCAAGCAATTAACCAAGGGACGTGTTAAATGAACTCCTATGTATTACTAAACCATATTGGTTTCTACTCTTCTCACTTACCTTATGAAATCTCTCCTAGAGTCAAGACTACGAGACTGTACGAAATCTTTTTTTCATTGACATGTGATATGCAAGAGAATTCGGTTGTTCATGTGAATGCATGAAGGCTTCACTTTCGGAGTTGTAGTTCAACTTTAATGTCAATTTCATCGTTTTCTATGAGATAAAATTATTGAAATACCCGGTTTACCGTTTTTGTTAAAATCTCATAATGTTGTTATGGTTTCTTTTCACTGCGTGTATGACTCACGATGCAAGTGTTTGGTAATTTGGGTATGGTTGTATGAGGTTGTTTATTGTTAAAAAAACAGGCGGTGAACAAGGGTAGAACACCATGTGGCTGGCAACAAGAGAATACAGGAATGTGTCATTTTCTATATTATTATTTTTTCTAAAATAAATGTTTATATTTATATTTTATTTTGTTTTAAAATAAATGTTTAATTTTAAAAGTGTTAACTTTCTGATTATACCCTTAATTTTGGGATGGAAAAATTTTAGTACTCCATCTATTATTTCCTTTGTTGCAAAATAATAATTCATGTTTCTATTTATCTTTGTCTTAAAATAAATGTTTGTTTCAAAAAAAAAAAACAATTGGATTTCCATATATACTCTTAATAAATGAATAAATATTTAATTGTTGATAAGATAGATGAATTAATTAAGAGTAAATTCGTAATTTAATTAACTAAAAGATGTAATGAGCATGCATGTCTAAAACCATGTGTCAATTCTGTTGTGTACACTTATTTTGGGGTGGAGACATGGTTCTAAATAACTCGTTATGACACCCAACACATGAACCCCTGATTGCTCCACTTAATGTTGGCTTCCGTGTTGTAACACGTTATGGCGTGTTATGGGGAACTACAAGTCTACAACACGTTGAGGCATGATTCTTTTTACTTTCTTTAAACATATAACTTGGGAAATGAATGACAATTATGTACGACACCTAATACTTAAATAAACATTACAAGGAAAACATAAAAACTAAACCCTAAATAGGTATCTTTATTCTTATTCTTGTACACGAAAAGTGAAGAAAGTAGTCAATAGAGACTCGAAAGATTTAATCCTGTTTTACACTCCTGATGTCATTTTCTTATAAGCTCGATAATTATAACTCCATACAATTCAAATTCTTCTATAACAAACACAATGTATACATATGCCACCTTAAGCCACGTCTTGAAAAACGTTGTCTTTGCCATAACTCGTAAGGCTTAAGGCTTAAGGCTTGACCTCACCGCTACGTCATGCCTCACGTCTTTTAGATCATTGGATGGAGGGATTATTAAGGTAAAATTGTCAAGTTATAATTATAAAAAACCATGTGCATACTTTTTAGCCACTTCTAAACTTTTTTTTCACGAAACCATAAGTCAAAGCCACAAAACAATTTTTTCTTGCGATGCTGCAAGGTATGACTTTGGCTTGCTTTTTATGCGTCGACATATGTCCTTGCGGTCCCACAAGCTGCAGTATCTCAATTTATTTTTGCAGTCAGCCCGTTTTTCATCCAGATGCGTCAAATGTTAAAAATCACAAGGAAAAATGTTTTGCAACACTAACTTGCGGTTTCTTAGCTATTTTCTGGAAAAAAAAAATTGGTGGCTAAAAAGTTTTAAAATTTTCACTAGGTTTATAACTGCGTCTTTTTTGGGACAGTGAGAGTAATAATTTACACTCCCACATGGCATAAGTGTAACAAAAGAATGCACGAGACTTCGTTCGGTAACAAATATTAAAAAAGACAGGAATCGCAACACATACATCCCATAGTTGCATTTGAACCTTTAAAACACACCCAAAACAACCATCACCAACTTGCAACACAAACTTTCTACAGCTGCATTAGGAGACCGACTGACCAACAACGAATCCACAAAACTAAACACGCATATATACATCAACCACTCCACGACACACATGCGGTTTTATGTTCTCCTAGAACCAACATAAGCCACAAGAGCACGACCTCTAGGAAATACCCTAAAGAAAGACACGCTACACAAGAAGGGCACTAAACCGATGGTTTATTTCACCATCTGTTTGGCATAACTCTCGCTTTAACGGGACGACAATGACCAGAAGTTGAGAAGGAACGAGGGTAGTGCCGTAAACCAGCTAAGGAAAGCCATAGCAGTAGCAGTCTCAAACTGTTTGCAGTGATTTTGAGCACATAGACCAAGATCGTTACCTATAAGAACCGTAATACCAGCAGATGCACACGCGGCGGCAAATGTCAGAGTAGATGTGACCTGCAGAGAGAAGACGGAAGCTTAAATCATAGCGAAGAATATGTTGAACATGTTATGCTAATTTGCTCAATTTAACGAAGGAAGGGGGGTGGGGGTTGCAAACTTAGAATTATAATCCATTAAACCAAACTAAGCCATTATATCCGACTTGAAAGTAGGGTCTGGGGCTATGACTGAGAGTGTTCCAATCTGATTTTTTGTGGATCCAATTAAACATGTTTTAGCCTTTACCAAATTATATATCTTTTAACCTTTAGCATAACTGTAATGTTTTAAACTATTACTCGTTAACCCATTTGGCGATTCCCAATTCCCGCTTTCGAAGAATGATTTATTTAAGTGAGTTTCATATATTACTTTGTCATTTTCAGATATTTTTGTTGTTTTAATTTGTAATTTGTAAGACTTATAATATTTATTTAAGTGAGTTTCATATGTTACTTTGTCATTTTCAGACATTTTTGTTGTTTTAATTTGTAAGACTTACAATATTAATATGGTATGAAATTCTATATTTTGTTTTACTTGTTACTTGCTCGATCAATCTATAGTATTGCTAAATGTGTAACAAGGCCTCCAAAAAGATTGGAATAATGGCCCTGTTGGGAGGGGTGGGAATTGGGATGTAAGCAGGCCTGTCCTCTAACCCCCCCCCCCCCAAACCAGCAACGAGTAGAACAGTTTTTTATGAAGATTTATGTCTTGAGCGTGAGCTACAAGTTAATCCATCACAACTACAAAATTTCGCTCTTATCAATAAATACGTGGTCTGATAAAACTTGTGCTACTTGTCCAACGAATATATGGCAAACGAGATCAAACTCAAATATAAGCTTTCCCCCCAATAGATGGGCATGATCCCTAGTTATGTGTTGCTGTAGTAGCACTTACGAGTAGGATAAATACTAATAAACGATGACCAGCCATAAAAATAAACAAACTTTGAAGATTCAATACTAAATTGACAAAATTATCTCATAGGCAATGGCGTCAACATATGAATGGTGAAAGAGAGAATAATCACACCACTTTGACTAAGCATCTAGACGTATAGGGTATACAGCAAAGAAATCTGGTTGGATGGACAAAATTTAAGCATAATCACACGACTTTTATATGCAAAGATTCAAGTTAAACCAGTGTTGAATTAGGAATGCAATTTTGATGATTCCAGCAACGAGACTACAAGAAATACTACAGAACACTCCAAAATAAATGCCAGTTGCATCTAAGATGACATTTTTAAGATGTAACATATACTTGTGGTTCTTTTTATGGTTCTTTTTGAAAGGTTGAGTGGATATGTTATCATGAAAGAGTAATTAACTACACTTGAATTTTGCTAAGGGTTATTTCTTGAGAACATTCATATACAAAGGAGTGGTAGAAGATTTCAAGGAATAAGACATATATCACTTAACAGGCCCAGTATATTGACTTTATCTGTTTATCATGTGCTTTCCTTTTTGTTAATTTGTTTTTTATACTAAGCAGATAAAATAAACTAAAATAGAAATACGCAGAAACACACACTTAATCTGACATTCTGATATCTCCTATGGCTTAGTCCTGAACTAGATGAAATCATCTAAACATGTGATATTTTCATTTTGCCCATTTATTCAATTTCAATCAGGCTTAATTTAATACTTTTAAGAATTCACCCAATCTACGTGAAGCATATATAGATTAGGGGTAAACCATGAATGATGATCAATCTCCCTTGATACTAGAATTTCCAGCAGCAGTTATCTTACCCCGTCACCAATGGAAAAGAGACTGACAACTCTATAATTCTGCAAGGAACGTCCCACCAGAAGGGCATGGATGTCGAGAATGGCAAGTGATAGGCTCCACAAACTCTGCAGGGAAACAGCAGCAACAAGGTAGCTGGGATGGCAAACAATTGAAAGTTTTCATCAGTGTTGACTGGCATCAAGCATAAAAAGATACCTGAATTTACTTTTACCATAATTTAGGCATAGAGAAATAAAGAAAGCAATGCAGAGAATATTCATATAATGGGAAGACGCTGATGATGGATTTAGGTGACCGTGACACAAAGTAAACTTCGACTTGTAGCTGAAGCCTTTTGTCACAAGTTGCATCTTGGATTCTCATTCCTAAACCTCCACTTGTTTTTATCTTTATGTGCTATAAATTGAGAATGACAATTCCTACAACTCTGAGAGGACTGGTGAACCATGGCCGTAGTTTACCTCCTTGCCTTAGGAAAACTTATGCTTTACTTTGTATTTAAATCCAAAAGAGAGAAAACCGGAAAAGTGTATGTGTAACCTTGATCTTTCAAGAATCCAAAAGAGAGACCCCCCTTTCTTCTTCAATTTTTCTGCCTAAATCCAGCCGGACTATCCATCCAAAAACCAGAGCAGTTGCTTTGTCTTTGTTCCTGAAGGATCTTGACCCATCAAGGATACAAGGCATGGAATCCCTTGTCCATATGTCTTCACAACATGTCCAGCAAGACTGCTGTCTATGAGAGTACTCATCAAATTCGATAGTGTTGGTCCGCTTGGTTACTGGTCTTCTAAGGCCTGGCCACTATGTTTATCTTTGCCTCTTTGGAATTTGTATTTTTAGCAGATTGGGTTGGTCCTGCGTCAAAAAATGCTAAAAATCCTGGAGAGCAGTTTCAATGCTGGGGAAATTTATAGTATGTGGAAATGTGTCTCCTGATAAGACATCTATCTATTCATGATTAACTCTTTGTCTTTGCATTGAAGTTCAGATGCATAAGTGATTAACTGTAATTTATATGCCTCGCACCTAAGACTCACAGATTGAACACGTAAGACGTAATCTAATCAACTGCTACAAGTAAAATTCTTAAACTTGAAAGTTGAAACAGACACTTAAAAAAGGGAAAGCTTTGAAGAAACAGAAATCATGCTCGATTGTGACCTCAAATATTAGTAAACATAAATTCACCACCACTTTCCAACTGCAATTTCCTGGATCTTGCTAGTTGCTACTAAACCTCAAATTATCACTTTATTTATAAGCGCCGTAAAAAGCTTTTGACGACCACATAATAATTAGAATTATGTTACGAACTTCATGAATGTGGAACAAGCTATGATTGATGATGTTGCTAGGGGATAAGTGACAAGGAACCTATATCTAATAACTTTCGCAGTTCTGAATTTTCACAAAATTGCCCCACAGTATTGTATAACAGGTTTATAAAGACACATTTCTTACCCCCCATACACTATTCAAGTATTCATGGCATTACATGTGTAAAACTAAAAGAGCTACTCTTTTTTCCCATTTGAGAGACTATTATGCACATCAACCAAATTGGGGTATGCCTTCTATAAGTAGCAATTCACCATTTCCACACCCTGCAAGCAGTTCTTTCAATCATGTAAGTAATACGTTTCAATAGCAACTTTTCAAAAAGCTAGTATCTAGCTGACATATAATTAATATGCCAATGTGTTTGGTAAGTTCACAAAGCTTGACTTATCTTAGACCCTAGTAACTTTGGAGCCAAATGCTTGAGTGAATCCCATCTAAAGCAATAGCTTCTATCTGCTGAACCTTACATGCTCATATGTTTCATGATCATTGATGTTGAATCTTTTTTCACTTTGTCTCCTTCCCCTGCATTCATAATGATAATAATTTCTGAGTCATTCTTTCTAGTGCATTTACCTGGCTATGTTCTTCATGTCCAGTATGTGTTACATGGTCTTAAAGAGTTTAGTGTTCCACTGTAACAAACTCCGTTAGATCAAAAGCCTCCATCTTATCCATCATAGTCAATATATATAATCAGGCTTCCCCCATCTCTAGCATCAGCTTTTGCGAGTCATGAAAAATCTGAATTTACCTCTTCTCCATCTTAATCAGACACAATAACAGGTAAAAAATTCAGAAGTTTATGTTCTATAGTGTTTTCGCTTGGTCAATAGCCACTAGCAACCGGGTCATGTAGGAAAAAGGTTCAAGTATACCACTGTGGTATATATCATAACGCACTTCCACTTGATACCTATCATAATGATACTTGTCTCACCTTGACCTTCCCTTGATTTCTCGAAACCTTCTGTGCTCCATCCCTGCAGGGGCAGGGAACACATTGTTGTCTTGGCAGTGCTACTCGAGACTTTGAACCTGATTATTGCACAAGGAATCTCATCTCCATGACATTCATAGTCGCCTTCTTAATTAGAATTTCAAAGTGATGATTTGAATAGTTTGTCCTACTGGTGACACAGATTTAGTCATTCATTTAGTCCATATTTAATGGTTCTCTAGTCTTCAATCATAAACAATAGGTCGTAATTTCCATTTTTCTCTCTGCCACAGAGTCTTGTGTGTTAGCTTGACTAACTTCCATGGGATCAAACTCCACTCTCCCTGATTTAATTGCATCAAGGATACGATCTCCAACTTGCTATTGGAATTCGATAGCTAAGCGATTGGCAACATCATACTATAACAACGATTATGTATTTCATCAATAAGTTTTCACACCGACAATAAAACTACGAGATCGTAGTTTCTAATTTTTACTATATCACATTATCCTGCGGATTAGCTTGGCTAACTTTTACAAGATCGACTTCATTCCCCCGGATTCAATTACATCATGGACAACGATCTCCAACATGCTATTGGAGTTCGATGGCAACACATTACTATTATAACAACGATTACGCGCCCAATTAATAGATTTCACACAGACATAAAACAACCAGATCGAAAAAATCTATGAACACTGATCAACGAAACGGATCAAGTAAATTACCAGAATGCAGTTACGGACGGGAAATCGCTTGTTGTGGCCATGACAACGAGTGAGACGACTGCGTACGCAAATTGACAAAAACGTAAGCTGAGACCACCGATCGTCCCAGGCATGCCTTGGACAATCTTCATCCTCACTCTCGGTGGTACGAGGGCGCCTCCGTCAGTCGGTGGTAATGGTGCCACTTCAACCGGATGCACTGACGGGTGGCTCACGTTCATTTTATCCCGCCGCCTCCAACCACCGCCTGTATCGACGTCTTATCTACCAGATCATCATCAATCATAAAAATTCCAGTGGTTCAAATCGATCTAACTTCTGGTAGGTGCAATATCGAGATTTAACGCTGGTTGATGAACGAATCGTACGAATTTGAAACTATGTGGAGTGTTTCAAACTTTTAGTAGAGTTATGGGGGTATAAGCCAATAGACCTACCAAACCTAACGTTACAGTTCACAAAAACTTTTAAGTTTTGATTTTAACATCCGACAAATTCATGAATTGGAATTATGGGGTCATTTATTAAATATTTATTCGATAAATATAGTTCGGATAATTTTTTTCACCCGATGCATATGTTAAAGGTTGAAAATCTTACTCGATAAGAACGATAAGAGGGATAGAGAATCTTACCCGGTAAGTGACGGTGAGGACTCTTACCTGGATAAGCGTTTACCAAGTAAATTGTTGCATATTATACCGTTTTAATACATTACAAATTTATCTGATAAAATATATTATAAATTTATAGTATTGACTCCTAACAATAAAAGCTTATCGGGTAAGTATTTGGATAAACGGCCCCTAACTCAAGGGGAAAACCTTCATTTTTTTTTTCTTCGTTTAAGAGATTAACTTAACCGGTTACCTTAAAATAATGATGTGGCAAAAAAACTTTAAAAAACTAAAACATGGATATTGTAATATATTTTAAGCCATTTCAAAAAGTTAGTTTTCTAAAATGAAAGGTTTTGAAAGTTGATTCTTTAAAATAGGAATAATGGTAAAATTAGTTTCATTTTGATGCAATTTTTCCTTTTAATAAATAGTTTACTGGCAAAACGCATCATCCACATTTATCTGTTTCGATATCAAAATGAATTATTGATAAGCATCTTAAACCCCGAAAAACGTTTACTGGGTATGGTTCTCATTCTTGTAATGCCTCTTATCGGGTAATATTCTCAATCAATAATATAAAATTATATAATAAGCGTTTAACCGGTAAGTGTTTAGTAAATGACCCCTTAATTACCTTGTTGAGTAAGATTATACTCCGTCAATATAACATTGTATAAAACAATGTACAACATTGAGTTTAAGAGTTGTCATTCTCACTTATCAGATAAAATTCTCAATTCTTATCATCATTTTTATCGGATAAGATTCCCGGTAAAAATAATAGTTAGAAATAAATCATAAAAAATTATATAATTTTACATTAAATATTAGACATCATTAATGTTGTTACTTCTTATTTTTTTTATTTTTTTCAGATGCAACAAAACCTAAAAATACTATAGTAACAAGAAATGTCTTTGACATAATATTTCAGTTTTTTCAACGAAGTCAACACTTAAATAATAATAATAATAATAATAATAATAATCTATACTATATTATAAARCATTTGACAAAAACTTTTAAAAATCATCTTTTATACATGAAGTATTGTTTATTGATGCATATTACTTAAAAATTCAGTATGCACTTCTTATGTTCAATGTCTGCCTTATGATGCATTTTTCGTGAGCGACTTTAGCTTTACGTATTCTAAAATACAACTATGATCGATTATCATATTCACCTATGATATACTTGATGTATGAGATGGCAATATTATTTCTTGTACAATTTAATATAAACGTTAGTGGATAATATATGTCGGCTTCGGTATGTTATCATCAATGTGATCATACTGAAGTGTATTTTTTAAGGGCAAATTACATAAAATTTTTAAAAAATAACGTACTTTGACTTGATTCTTGTTTTTGACAATGTACTTTCAAAACCTCTATTTTGATACCTAAGATGTAAAGTTTTGAACATTTAAGTACTCATGTAAATAGTTGAAGCATTAACCCGGTTACCATGATGATGTGCCGAGTGATGTGGTATCCAACTCACTATTATTTGTTATTCAACCCAATTTCATCTTATCACTCGTCACATCAACATGGTAATCGGTTAATGTTTCAATGTTTAAAGCTTACATATTAGGTATCAAAATGGAAGTTTTGAAAGTACGTTACACGAAATAGAAATCAAGTTAAAGTATATTACTTTTTCCATGCATTTTGCCATTTTTTAAATAGAAATGCTTACACCAAAAAAGCTATAAAGCAAAATTATCTGAATATAGAGTGTAGACTCAGAGTCAAGAAATATTTGTAAAGCCTAACTGGATTCGACGCATTCATATACGTTGACGCAACTTCCTTGGTTCAGTCCACAATGGTCTCGAACCCGGTTTATCTGGCTCAGGTTGTGGATTCGACGCATTCATATATGTTGACGCAACTTCCTTGGTTCAGTCCACAATGGTCTCGAACCCGGTTTATCTGACAGTGCTAAATCTCAAGTCAACTCATTTTCCCCAAAAATTTTGACTAAAATTGATGTTTGTGAGTTTTTATCCAACGTTAGCATAACACACAAACACTTAAAACACATTATTAAGCTATTGTTTAACGATTTGGTATTTTTTTGACTCACCATGATGACAACGATGGTGGTCAAAATTTGTCGTCTTATGCCCTAAACTAGTCTACAACAACCACGTAAAATGACGATCAACTTGATTTCAACCATACACATGGAAATCTAAGAGAAAGGATTAGAAATATACCATAAATTATCGTTGCAACCCAATTTTGACCATTACATCCCTACCATCGATTTTCACCAATTCACTTTATCTTTATGGAAAAGTTAAAACATTACTATTAAAATGAAGTCAAAGTTGGGGAATATTAATCACAAGAGTGGTATCTGATTGGTTTGAGTTTGGCTCAAAATGTCAAAAGTACCTGGAGGTCCTATATTCAAATCCAATAATGAATAAAAATCATCTTGTGCCCACAGAGGTTCAAATGCGGTGACTTCGGGTTATCTGGAAAACAGATGGTCGTCATAAGATTAGTCGACTCACATAGCGGGTTGAATATTCATGTTAATAAAAAAAAGGGCAAAATGCATAAAATAGCAATCTACTTTTATAAATTTTTTTATTATAGCATTGTACTTTCAGTTTTTCTTATTACAGCAATGTACTTTCAAATTATTTTTTATTAGGACATTGTACTTTGAAAAATTTACCCATTATAGCATTGAGTAACCTTTTGATTTAAATTTACCCATTATACTAGGTTTCCATGCCACCTCATTGTCCATGCAGGCTGTCCACATGTACTATAGTGATATGACTTTCTTACTAAATCATTGTACTTTCAAAATTATTTTATTATAGCATCTACTATTTCTTATTAAACACTGTATTTTTAATTTTAATATTTARATRTTTTACATGTTTTTTAATAAATATATTAAATGAATTAAAAAAACTTTTAAATTATTCATTAATATACCAATATCAATAAAACTAGTAGAACACAATTTATCTCGCTAATATTTTTTTTAAAAATATGTGTTTTTTGAAAAAAGGAAAATAAGAATTGTTTTTTTTTTACCAAAAAATATTATTTTTACTTGACGAATATATTATATTTGTTTAAAAACTTTTTACTTGACGTATAAATATATTAAATTAATTA